ATCTGCCTCTGCCCTCTGTGAAAACAAGAACACCTCCCTCCACCTGTTCCCCTAAAAATAAAAGCCCAAGTGAGAGGCAACAGCGTTTATTTAGAAATCCAAAAGAGCAGTTATTCGGGGAGCACTGATTCAGAAACCCGAATGAGGTGTCCTGATTAGGAGGCAGAGGCGAAGGGGTCAGTGAGGGAGAGAAGGTGAACAACGACACCGATCCCAGGGAGGAATGTCTGCAGGTGCAGATAAGCTAATAGAGTAAAAGGCTAGTTCTAAAGAGCATCTTCAACTGTGAACCCTGTGGTCATAACACCTGCTGTCTTGTTCTGTTTCCAGTCGTGTGGCGGACAGTGCCTCTTTAGGCCCAGCCCAAAGATTACTTTGCCCAGTTTTAATGTTCCCAAGGCTTGGGGAGTGAGGCCTGCAAGGCAGGGTGTCTGGGAGGGCAGCGCTGACTCCGTTTTGAAGCGGTTCTGTTCCTGTTACTTTAACACACCCGAGAGCCCCGGGGGCACCTTACTAGTTTCCTTTGGCCTGTGCTGCATGGCCGATGAAGAAAGCCCCCCCCCTTAAGCTGGGACTCCCCACTAAGCTGTCCTCAAAGACAGTTTCACACCCTACTTTAGGGAGCTCCCTTTACTCTGGGGCTGGCAGATTAAGGGAGGCCAGCCTTTGGACAAGCAATTTGGCTGCCCTGGGTGTGTCGATAACTTGAGAACCGTTCGTGGACTTTGATCCGGCAACCTTCCGTCTGGGCCACTATGCGGAGGCAGATTTCACGCCATTGCCATGCGGGTATCTCTAGGCACCTGGAACCTAATACATTTATTGCTCTTGATTCTTACCCCACCCAACTCCTCCTGCCATCAGATACTATGCAACTGCCAGTTACGTAGGCTCCAAACTGGAGAGTCCTTCTGGATTCTTCTCTCTCATACTTCATCTCAGCAGCCCCCGAGAATTCTGTTTGTTCCATCTTCAAAACATGTCCAGGATCCAATCACGTCTCACCACATTCATTGCCACAGTCCTGATGCAGCTCTGTTCACTGCTTCCCGAATCAGCGTTATAACCCCCGACCGTCCTCCTTGCTTCCACACTTCCTCAAATCCCATCAGAACAAACTTTCGAAACATGTCAGGCTGACTGTGTCACTTCTCTCCTTAAAACTCCCTAAAGGTGTTGCCTCTGACTCGGAGTGAAAGCCAAAGTGTTCTTACCCTGGACTCCAAGGCCCCCCAGGACCTGCCTCCTGTCTCTCTGGTCCCGTCTCCTTCCCTCTTCCGCCGGCACCGCCCCACCCTCGAGGGCTTCTCGCTGCTCTTCAAGCACCTGACACACGACCTTGTCTCAGGGCCGCTGCATTCACGGTTCTCTCTTCCTGGCACAAACGGCCCCCCAAGATGCACATGGGTCTCCTCCCCCCTTCAGGGTTCTGCTCCAAAGTCACTCACTGCAGCAGAAGAGCTGAACCGGAGGTAAGGGAGCACCTTACACAAAATAGGTCAACCTCCCTCATCCGGGTGCCTTTTTCGTCACAGCACTGTCTGACATCATCGAAAGCATGCAGTGCTTCTGGTTCTCCCATCTCAGCGTGTAAACTCCAAGATGGGACGACCCTCACCTGCTTTATTCCCTTGCGTTCACCCAGCTTCGCGGTTCAAGTGCGGCCACTGGAACAAAGGAGCAGCTGTGCTGGGAGGGAATCATCAGCACAAAGCCGGACACGGATTAATGCCCCCCACCCCACGGCCAAAATAGTGGACTTCCGAACTTTTATTTTATCATGACTTGGATTTCAGCTTCTGTGACATAGTGGCCAGTAGAAACCAAGATCTTATAGGTTATCATATTTTTTCCCTGAACCTTACAAGCAAGGTGCAGACTAAATGCTTCATCACTACAGAGGACTTTAGGGTGCATCACCCCCACACAAGGACATTCTTAGACACAGCTACAACATGAACACCCACGCCAGGTACTCAGCATTGGTAAGGCACTCTCGCCAGATTCACAGACCTCACTCAATTTTGCCAGCTCCATGTTTCCTGTCTGATCCAGCCGCCAGTCCAGCATCATTTGTTGCATTTAGTTATCATGTCTCTTAAGGCTCCTCCAATTTGGATCAGTTAGTTCTTGCATCCTTCTCTGTCTCTCCTAAACTTGAGAGTTTTAAAGAACACAGACTTTCCACTTTGTGAGATGTCTTTCATTCTGAGTCCATGGAGAGTTTGGCCATGGTGAGAGTCAGGCCCTGCATCCTCCACGGGAACACAACAGAGAAGATGCTGCACTCTCCTCCGCTCGCCACAGCAGGAGGCGTGTGGTGTGACCGGTGTCGGTGTCGCTACTAGCGATGCTCATCCCCGTCACTCCGTCTGCTTGGTGTCCTCCAGGGTGCTCGTCAACAAGTTAACCGTTTCCTCCCTTGTCGCCAATAAGCGCTTTTCAGAAGATGCTTCAAGACTGGGCTAACATCCCGTTTCACATCAAGCACCCGCCAGCCTTAGCACCCACCGAGGGCCCCTGCCCGAATCAACCTACGTTGCCACGTGGCGACTTTCTATTTCCATCAGTCTTGGCTGGCACTCTTTGACGAGGAAGAGCTATCCTTTCTTCCCCATTTATTTACTTATTCTAGCATTGTTTATTTACCTACTTATATTAGCATGGATTCCCATTTCATCCAGTGGTTCATAATCAGTTACCAGCATTATTCACTGGGCCCCAGGTCTGGCCAGCGGGAGCTCTGTCCAGCTGGCTTGTGTGTCCTGTTGGCGTGGGCGCGTCATGCTCTCAGCACGGTCTCCACGAGTGGGTCCGGGCTCACTTCGCACTTTCCCAGCCCAATCCCTGGAATCAGCCTTGATTCCTCAAAATAGAGGATGGCATTTAGAACCCAAGGTCCTCTGACCACTTGATGTGTCCACTGCTTCCAGCCTCTGAGTGGAGATAGCTATAGCGTATGTATGTGTATATATATGTCAATAGATAGATAGATAGATACATAGATAGATAGATTTGCACTCATTTGCACTCTATATATATATATATATAGATATATATATATATATATTGGCATATATGCATCTATATATGATGGTTTGCATTCATTTTTAATCCAGTCCAACACCTCAGTGTACTTTATAACGTTCTTTCTTTCCATATTTGTAAATTCCTTCTCCAGCACAGAGAGACCCAGCTCCCATTATAGTCAATGTTTCCCTTACCTGTTCAGTGGCCCCTGCACTTAACCCATCTCCCAGCCGGATGCTGCCTTCTTGGTGCTGCCCACCTCCTCACCCCTGACTTCCAGGGGAAAGCAAGGGTAAGGAGTAGCCGTGCATTCTTAATGACACAGGTTCCCCAAGTGTACTGTGGCTGGAGAAGAATGGCTAAGACGCCGAGACGTTTTGGGGAACCACTTTAGTTTGCTAAGGTATCAGCACAGAACCTTGCTGCCCGGGGGGGCAGTCGGGGTCGCCAGTGGGCCCATGCCTCAGGTCTCTGGTGGTCCAGGAACCCGGCGGTCTCCACTTTTGCCTTCCTGGTGTTGGGTACTGTAAGAAGCACCATCTCGGTTGCCTGGAAGCTAATTTTCTAAAATGAAAACACACACATCCAGCACATCAAATACCACAGAGACAAATTCTTCTTAGTCGTTCTTCTTGTGCCTGCTTCTAATTTGGGCCTAGGCACCAGGTGTTTGCACTGCTCCTTAGAAAAGAGAAGTCGTGCAGGTGAACAGTCATGAACAGAAACCTGTACACGACTAAGGTCCTGGGGGGAAGGCGCACTCTTGTGCTCATCATGAATTGGGTCCTGGGTTGTCTGAAAAAGCGCCAGATGGGAGGATAACATGAGTGAATGAGAACCATCATGCAAATGGCTTTAGAGACTTGACATGGCACATGCCTCAGCCAAGGAGACTGTTGGTGTGGACGGGCAATAACCAGGCGAACATTTAATCGGAAGGAACCGTGCTGTGTCACAGCCTTAAGAACGCCACCCTGGAGGGGAGGTACTCTCTGCTGAGCAGTGGTGATCTCTCTGCACAACCACAAACAATAACCGCCCAAACAAAGCTCCCGTGCCAATCGACGCCGGAGTCCTCGGTCACCAGCCTGACAACCAGCACAAACACCGTGGAGAACTAGCACACCCGGTCCCTTGCGGGGTGTCCAACCTTTGAGCGTCTCTGGGCCAACACCGGAAGAAGAAGAGTTGTCTGAGGCCACATATGAAATACACAAACACTAACGAAAACTGATAAGCAAAAACAAAAAAACAAAATGGTTTTAAGTAAATTTACGATTTTGTGTTGGGCCGCATTCATGCCCATCCTGAGCCACCTGTGGCCTGCGGGCTGTGGGTTGGACAACCCCGTCAGGGTGAGGGGGACACTCCTTGAAGAGAAAACAAATGTCACACGTTTGCTTCCAGGTGGGAGGGCAGAAGCCCACTCCTGAGCTCACCTGGACAGCCTGGTCCCCAGACCAGGAGCACTCAGCATCACCGGGGAACTGGGCAGAAAGGCATATACTGTTCTGAAGCCCAACCCTAGATGTGCTAAGTCAGAAATTCTGGGGCAGGACCCCTCAGCCTGAGTTTTAACAATCTCTAGGTGATGCTGATGCACATTTAAATTTGATGGTCACTGACATTCCAGGCGTGGCGTGAGAAGGACCTCTCTACCAACGGGCCTCACCCTGTGGCCTCGGACGGGTGATTAGGGAGGTCACGGCGGTTGCACCTGCGAACCGGAAGGTCGTTCACAGCAAGCGCACACACTTCGCTGTATTTAAGATGCAGGAAGTTGTTCCTGCGCGCACAGGTCAAGGGGTTGCTTCCCCTTTTGCCTCCACCTAATCCAAATCGCAGATTGGCCTGAACTGGAGACCCAGCAGGGGTCGCTGCTGTCCACAACGAGAGACCCAGGGAGCGTGGCCAGCGAAACCCCGAATCTTTGACATCACACTAAGCTCCTCCTTGCACGCACACATTACACACACAGACAAACACACGCGCACACACAACCATATACAGACACAGAGACCGCGTACTCACCTCTGACCGCTCGCGCCCACTTCCCCGGAGCCGACCTCGCCCGCCCGCCGCAAGTGCGTGCGGCGTGGCCACGGGAGAAGCGAGCGGCGAGCGGCCGCGGCGCCAGGGACCCGGCGCCAGGGACCCGGCGCGCAGCAGGAGCGGCGGCCGGGACGCTCCGGCAGCACCCCGTGCCTCCGGCAGCCGCGTCCGCCCCCGCCGGGGCTGAAGGGCGCAGAGCCGCCACCCCGCTCGCTCCCGGGCCCCCTGCCACCCCTATGAGAGAAGGAGAAGCCGGGCGAAGGAGCAGGACGCTCGGCAGCTGGACTCCTCCGCAAGCCCCGAGCGCCCCCTTCGCCTGCCCCCCTCCGGCGCCCGGGGAGCGACATGCAACCGCCGCGCTTCGGCTGAAAGGGGAAGGGGCCGGCGCCACTCGCCCGCTCGGAATCCGGTCCCCGCGGCGGCTGCGCGTCCCGGCCGCGGTCCCCCGGGCCCGGGAGTGAGCAGGGGCAGGAGCGGGAGAGCAGGCCGGGCCGGAGTTGGCCCAGGCGGGGGAGGACGGCGCGGGGGACGGGGAGGGGGCCCCGGCGGAGAAAGATGGCAATGTCTCTCATCCAAGCGTGCCGCAGTCTGGCTCTCTCAACATGGCTGCTTTCCTTTTGTTTCGTGCATCTGCTCTGCCTGGACTTCACCGTGGCCGAGAAGGAGGAATGGTACACCGCCTTCGTGAACATCACCTACGCCGAGCCCGCGCCGGACCCGGGGGCGACGGGCGGCGGCGGCGGCACGGAGCTGCACACCGAGAAGACCGAGTGCGGGCGCTACGGGGAGCATTCGCCCAAGCAGGACGCCCGCGGGGAGGTGGTCATGGCCAGCTCGGCCCAGGACCGCCTGGCCTGCGACCCCAACACCAAGTTCGCCTCCCCGGCCCACGGCAAGAACTGGATAGCCCTCATCCCCAAGGGCAACTGCACGTACAGGGATAAGATCCGGAACGCGTTCCTGCAGAACGCCTCCGCCGTGGTCATCTTCAACGTGGGCTCCAACAACAACGAGACCATCACCATGCCCCACGCAGGTGAGCGGCCCCGGCGGACGCGGGGGAGGGGAGCCCGGGGGGATGGAGGCGCGGAGAGGATCCAGCGCCTGCCTCCTAGCTCCTTTCTGGGAAGTCTGTGCTTTGCGAAAGACGCGTCCCTCTTCCCCGGACCTACTAAGTTTTGCTGCACGTCACGTTGTGGGTTTACAAAGAAGAACGGGCTGACTGTGTTGGGGGAACAGTGAGTGTGTTCGGTTTAGACGAGTGCCCCTCGGACTAGGGTTCGCCGAGGTGGCCTAACTTCTCCCAGGAGGACCTGAAAGGTGCGGTTGCGGGGCAGAACTCAGGCCTCTTTCTCGGCGAGTGGCGAGCCCCGAACCTGTTTGGAACAGGTAGAGATCTGATAACTCCGCTCTGACCTGGCTGTGCGCATCGGGTGTTCCCCTGGCGCAGGCGTTCGTGTATCAGGAGGTGGGTAGGGTTACTGGCGCTAGCAGCTCAGCTCAGAGAACTTGCTTCTTAAGTCAGGTTTCAGTTCTTCATGGGAGATGGAATCCTCCGCCCCGCCACCCCCTCCCGCCGCTTTGACGCACATCATGAATAATACTGAAAGTCCTGTGCGCTGCCAAACTGTCACCCGGAGAAGCCGACCGGCAGGCAGGCAGGATAGTAAATAATAACAATCCTCACCAAGCCAAGAAGAGCGCGGTGGTGGCCATGAAGTTATGTCTGCTTTTGCGGGATTACATTGCCCTTTGCTTGATCGGGAGGTTAAATATGCTCTGTGCGAATAAGAGAATTTCAGGCTAGAGAAACTAAGCTTTTCTCAATGGTCCCAGGGTGCCAGGACTAGGAATAGGTTACTACGGGCGGTTTACCCCGTGACCCACAGAGCAAAGCTTCCGTGCTGGGACGCGCGAGAAAGGTCCTCTCCAGGCTTGTCAGAGGAGCTGCTGGACTCAGCGGCGGGCGCCTGGAGTCCAGGGCTGCGCTTGCTCCTTTCCTGCGTGCCTGGCACGTGCGCCCTTCCTCCCCAGAGGGGTTCCTGGGTGGAGGCTGTGACACCCGGAGGAGGAAAACGGGAATAGAAATGACAGGTGCATTTTCTGACTGGAGTCACCTAAGCCACAACACTACTTTCCTTTATTAAAAGCCAGATTTTAATAACGTTTTGGAAATGGAATACCAAGCTTTGGCTACATAGGTAGGGCGGGGGTGCATTCTTTGGGGACAAGGTTTCATCCCAAGAGCTCCTATCGTCTGTCAGTGAAATATGCAATTCGTCTGCCTCTGGTAATCGTCACCAGCTGTGTTGGAAGAGGGCCTTGTTGACCTGAATACAAACAGGTGGGGCGGGGACAGTCCAGTGCTTCTAACACACAGGCCCAAAAACTGCAGTGTGGTGATTAATGGCAGTAAGCTTAGAAAAGTTACAGGGGTGCATATGAGAAAGTACGCTGTACTCTCTCGAGCTCCACAGTTTGTAAGGGGAAAGGTTGTATTCTGACCTTGAGACATAGGAGCACTACTTACACTAGGATATCAAGGGTTTGGAGGGCTTCGGAAGAGCACTTAAAGTCAGGTGAAGCATCTTTAAGTAAACATATTTAATGTCACAGCTTCAACTGGCAGAGTGGTATGAAGGAGTTTGGGGGGGGCGGTTTCCCTTTAAGCACGGAGATGATTGTTGGCTGACTTTGTAGGATTCTTTGTAGGAATGTTTCTTTGTGCATATGCATGAAATCTTAAACTTGGCTTCTTCGAGCACAGACTGAGAGGCATCATCTGTCCCTGTCTAAAAACGTCCTCCAGAACTGCCGACACATCGGGTCGGTGCTCTGCTTGCCTGGTTTCAAAGGACGCAGTAAGCTGATTTTCTGCACAAGCGGTGCTTGGTGAAGGCCTCGTGGGAGTAAAGGGCCTAGCAATAGTTTGAAAGTTAAAGACTAAAGAATGTAAAGAAGATTCTCTACCAACTAACTGTTGTATTTCAAAAAAATGTGTTGATGCTGTATCCGCTGGTAGCCATGGAACTTCCATAGCCCCATGTGACATACGGCCACACTGAGAGACTGTATTCACTTTACTCGGAGATTGCATTGATTTCCGCCAAAGTCTCATAAGTAGGTCCCTGACACCAGTAGCTTGGCAAACCCTTCACTTTACTCTCAACTTCTTCTGCCTGAATCGCCAGCAGGGCCCGCACTGGTCTGGCTGCCGGTGCCTTACACTCACCTCCAGAAGGCTTTACTTCCGGTTCAGTTTGAGTTGGGCTTCTGAACGCGTCTGGCAAATACATGTTAGATGCTTTCCAATATTCTTATTTCGTGAACATGGGGTGGAGGATACAGGAGAATCCATACATTTGTGAACTTTCAAATTTAGTCTCTAAAAAGTTAGCATCATCCTTTGCATTAAAAAAACATCTCATTTCTCCTCTTTTATTTCTGGAACTGATAGCTGTCAAGTGAGGAGAAGGTCTGAATTTAGAGTTCTGCAGGCCACCACGTAACACCTATGCATTTCGGTGGCTGATAGGACCCCAGAACATCCACTCTCTTGGAATTCTGTTAAATGGATAATATTTCCCCTTCACCTTTTCATATATATAGCCTTTCTTCCTGATTTTTTTTCTCTTTTCTGCTTAAATGATTTGGGTCTCTGCCACCTCTGCCACTATGGTTTCTCATTCAGAAAGACACAGCTTCTCCCGGGATAGACTAGTATTTTTACTTTATAACCAGTTTATAAATCTTACTTAAAATATGGCAGCTTTATTGGCATACAGCTCCCATACCATACAATTCACTCATTTAAAGCACGCGGTTTAATGGCTTTTACAGTAGTGACAGTTGTGCAACCCTCACCAGCAGCTCCAGAAGGAAACCCCGTGCCCATTAGCAGTTCTTCGTCAGGACCCGCCCGTCTCCCAGCCCCAGTTACTCACCAGTTGCTTTCTGTCTCTGTGCGTGGTTTGCCTGTTCTGGGCATTTCGCACGAGGGGAATACGGCAGTGTGTTTTTGGTGACTGCCTTCTTCCGCTATTTTCAAGGTCTACCAATACTCAGTACTGCATTCCTCTTTGCCAAATAATTTACCGGTGTATGTACACACATCACCTTTCATTTATTCATCCATTAGTGGGCATTTAGGTTCTTTTCAGTGTTGGGTTGTTAATAAGAAGGCTTCTAGGAACATCCACGTACACATTTTGTGTGGACCTTTCCCGTGGGTGCATACCCAGCAGTGATATTTCTCGGCCACGTGGCAACTGTATGGTGTAACCTTTTGGGGAACTGCCAGATGGTTTTCCAAAGCAGCTGTACCATTTCACATCACCACCAGCAGTGTGTGAGGACTGCAGTCTCTCTGCATCCTTACTGATGCTCATTGTTTGCCCTTCTGGTTTTGACCATCCCCAAGGTGGGGAAGTGGTGTCTCCATTGTGAGTTGAAGCTGCCATTCCCTGATGGCTACAGGTACTTTTAACTTCATCTTCATTCTTCCTCTGCTTTTCATTTTCCCTTTGTTACTCATTTCTTTGTCCTTTCCGCTCATACACTGTTTGTCCTGGGGAAGAGAAAGAGATTAATAGAGAAAAGAGATCCACCTCTTTCAATTAAAAAATAAAGCCCGTGGACTAGAGATTTTATATGTTCCCTGTAAAAGAATGTGAGGAACTGTGTGCTCAGTGCTTTAGGGAGACTCTATTGCTGGCCTGGTTTGCCCTGTGAAGGGGGCAGGAGAGCAGAGCACAATGCTACAGAGCAATAGAGTCTCTGCCTAGTGAGAGTCCCGCACGTGAACTTGCAGGTGCAGGTAAGGGTCGTGAGACCTAAATTAACGAGTGTGGCCTCCAGAGCCAACTACTTGAGTTTGTGCCCTGGCTCTACTACTTTCTCCCTGTGGGCCTTTGACCAAGTTACCCCACCTCTCTGGGCTTCTCTTTCCTCACTGGCGAAATGGGGGAAAAATAGTACCTACTTCATTTGGTCATTCTGTGAATTAAATAAGTTAGTACAGTGCTTCCATCTGCAGCTGGGATGTAGCCATCAATAAATATTAACCCTTAGGAGCATTGTACCTGGTGACACACAGGAGTCACTGACTGGAACATGCAGCCAGCTACAGGGCTCTCAGAGGCCCTGGCAGCCTGGGGAGAGAGCTCCCCGTTCACCCTCCTGCACCGTGGAGGCCGGAGCGGCTGTGCCAGGCTCTCCGGCTTCTGCAGTTTGAGACAGGGCATTGCAGCTCCTCCGGGTGGGTGGTGAGCATTTCAGGATTCACCTTTTGCCTTTGTGCTTTCTGTTGGCTGAAACTGAAGTCTCTTTGTGGCAAGAACCTGTATACTCAACATGGTAGATCTACAAGTGTGTGGGTGTGGTTTTAAGTGAGTTGTGAAGAAATGGTGCATTTTCTGTTTTTCTTCTTTTTGTCTATTGCTTGTACGTAGTTCAAAGGGAAGGGGGAGTGAAATGTGAAGCCTTCTAGGAAGAACTTCGGAGAGACGGGGTGCCGAGCAGTAATTTAGAGGTAAAGGGAGGAGATGGTCACACAACTGTCTAGGGAATAAGGTTAGCCCTTGGTGAAGAAGCATCCAGGATGGAGTGTGTTCCATGGATTCTAGGACTTTCTCCAAGGTTCAAGGAGAAAACATAGGGTATTCACTGAGACTCTTTCCTGCGTAGGTGGGTGCTAACAGTTTAATTCCTGGGTTTGTGCTGCATTTAGGGCCATTACTTGCTCAAGTCTGCCTTTGCCTAACTCCTGTAAATGTGCTAGAGCTGCTATGAGGTTTTTTTTTTTTTTGCAGGACTCATTTTTTTGGAATATTTGCCATTTGGTTTTACATTTTCCTTTAAGTAATATGTTTGCACTAACTCTGTTTTTCAGTGTGCCGTAGCCCTCTCTTTGGGTAGTAATGCACTGCTTATTCTGTGACAGGCATGTCCCCTGCGCGTTGCCCTCACAGCTGCGTCCTGTTCTTATCCCTGTTTCACGGGCAAGGACACTGAGGCCCAGGCGGGGGAGGTGATTGG